GACACTGCATAATGGACATTGATTTATTTTGTGACGTTGAAATTTGAGAGTTTCGGTTGTTCGTAAATATAAGCGGCGCAACATTGTGGAATTTTTCTTACATTCTAGAAGCAACTAACTTCTTTACATCTGTATTTTATAATTGATATAATTAAGATCTCAAATACGCAATTAAGATACTTAGAATAGCGAAATGATTTTACAATGTTATGCAGCTTGTATTATCCAAATAACTCGCGACTCACGCGTAATTGTGCGCAGATGAAATACTCTGTAGACCTGATTTTTAATGTGCAATTTGTCAAGACAATTATTCTTGTTATCTGTTATTTCGAAAACTATTTGCGTGATACAAGAACAAAATTACAAGCCGTTTCTGTGTTCCAGCAATATGGTATCGTTTTTTTTTCTTTTCCCAAATTGTAAAGATGGGTTTGCGCATGACTCTATATGAAAAGAACATTTTTTTTATTTATCTTTGCCATTTTGTTAGCTCAAACCCAATCTAATAAATCATATGTCAATTTCGTTTCCTGAAGGGACAGAACAGCAGAACTCTCTGTCCTCTCTTAATAAAAATTCTGTTTCAGTACATGATATATCTTCTTTATGTCATAAATCCTAAAGGAGTGTAATCGATTTAAAGCTTTCTCTTGCGTAAAACAATGCTATTTCATCGGATATTTCAATAAGATTATTAGATATAAGATGAAATGAATATTTTATGTCGTTTAAATTTTCAAACTTGTGGTGTGAATAATTTTGCTTGAAATTCTGTAATCGTGAAATTAAATGAGAATTATCATTTTAATTGATCTTTTACGAAATCCGTTTCTCGCGTTATGAAAAAGATAGAAATCTCATTATTTATTTCGATATTATCGTTTGTCGATATAATACAGATACAAAAAAGTATTTATATATCTGCAACAATAGTATAATTATATGTAAAAGAAAGAAAAATGATTGCATTCTCTGTGTAGACATATCATATATATCTCTCACAAAGCTTTTTTAATAATCCACGTTTTTATTATATATCTATATTTCGGAACATAAACATGAATTTTGATATAATCTGCAATATACTTTATAGATATATCTAAGGATTATTAGAGCCAATGCGCATTTTCAAATAGATTACATAAAGTGTGACGTTTATATTGAAGAAATCAAGAGATACTGTTCCTGTGTGTATTTACATTTCATACTGATTTATCACGAGACGAAGTACTTAATGCATTTTCTTCTACAACTATTATACAGATTTATATGGTACAAATTTAGTACTATGTACAATATTTCGCTTCATAGCTAAAAGATATTTTCATATAATATTATTAATACAGAAGTTACACTATTGACAAAAAATTATTGGAGTAATGTTGAGCTATCATAAAGAAAGTATCGGTACACAGAATTGCATACAGAATATCAATTTCATTTCCAGAACAATCAGTAAATTGCATATAAATGACACGAGCTAATGAAATATAAACTTCATGATGTAATTAAAAAAATATTTCAAATAATATGTACGCATGAAAATGATACGCACAGGAATTTTTTCAATATCACGAGACGTTAACAAAAATGAAATATTAATGTAGAAGTTACAATATCGAAAATGAAACATCGATATTTCAATATTATCGAATAAGCACCCGCACAGCATCGATTGTATCAGTTCACGTTGAGCTTCTCTATAGCTCCTTACGATCCTCTCTTTTCAAAAGAAGGATCTGCGTAAGGAGAGCGAGGAATTTTCGCGAATGCGAAATACGAGAGAGAGAGAGAGAGAGAGAAGGCGGATAAGAATTATACTGTCAGACTCTCGGCGTACGATATAAATGTTGGGCCGTTATTGATTTTAAGTAGTCGCTTAAATAGCGTCGTTCGGCTTTGCCCCACACGGCATCGTCGGATGCATCACGTGCGCAAAGACGCGTTATCAACTCTCTCTCTTATCTCTCGCAGCGTTTGCGAAATCCATCCTTGTTAAGTGTAACATCGATACCGAGAAGGAAGCTTGCATTCGCGTTTACCTTGTTTTGTATTTTTATCTATCATCTTTGCTGGTACGTTGTTTTTCATCGTCATATGTACAAAAATTTGAAGAAACATGCAATTTTGTGTATGTGTATAGATGTATTTTTTTTCAATCTTTATCGCATGAATCTTGAAAGTGAAATTTATTTTAGACGATCCAATATGACATATTTAAAAGTTTTATAAAAAGCTTTCTTTTCCTTTGTTTATTGATATAATTTCAAAATAGAGATTTTTGTTTTAAAAAATGTTCGAGCTTTTCTTAAAAACGGTTTTCTGGATTTAACTCATCATTATCAATTAAACATTGCATACTGAAGAATGAGATTAAAGTTTTTTTTTTCTAATTTTGTCTACCTGTAAAAAAAAATACATCTACACGTTACTGCACGTTCATTTTCCAATTATATTGCAGTCAGCAATTTTAAATTGTTTGCATCAATATTTTACAACTAGGTATTTTTTAAACAAACAATAGAGCGCGGTCGACTCCATTTTTATAAAACGGCGGAAGAAAGCGCAATTTTATATGATTCTCTTCCGGACCAATTCCGTGAGATTTATTTTCTCGTCACTTTGAATCGTTCCTTTTCTTTTTTTCCCTCGAAAGACAGAGAGAAAAAGTGATACCGTCGCAATTTTGCCGACAACGGACGGGCAGATATCGATTCGGACGGCCAATTAGGTCTAAGAGGTCCTCCAGAGAGAATTTGTACACGACACACTACGAGTCACTCCTGCAACCTCGTTCACCACTGTCAAGGTGTCATTCTTCTCGCCAAATTCGTAGCCAAATTTAACCATCTCTTTCTCACTATCTCTCTCTCGCCCTCTGGATCCTATTCTTCTACGGGGTCGTGGCTCTCTTATTTTCTGAATTATTTTTCCACGAGTCGTTTGCAGGATCGAGAGACTCTGGGAGAATGGGAAGAAAAGAGCGCGAGAACGGAGGACAGAGAAAGAGAGATTTGTACGGTCGAGGGAGTCCGTATGCCACACACATCCCCTACCGGCTCGAATATATAGGCGACGACAATGCGACGATAGCGACGAAGAAAGATACAAGGATGCTGGAAAGAGACGGCGGAATAAAGAAACGAAGAATACACCCTGACCCGTATTCTCGCCTCTATCCACCGCCACATTTAGCGCTAAGCGTGGCCATTGGAGTGTAAGCTCTACGAGCCCAGGACGTCTGTCAACTCTGAAGAAGTGTGCTACCCGAGTCTGCGGATATACGAAAGACTAGGATGTTTTCAATTCTGATAAATGATGATGAATAAAATATCCGTCTTGGAAGATTCATCACCGAAAATATCTGATTTTTCCCTCGCTTAGATGGAATGTAAACATAGTTTCTGGCCCGAGTTTGAAAAGGACGGAAGGACAATCGGACCACTTGGTAATCGAACCTTATTTGTATAATACGGAGAATTGGATAGGCACGCGTTTAGTATAGCCGGGTATGCGAGACTGGAATACGGGGACCTTATAGAAGATCCCGAATCGCCTCTGCCACGCGGAAGGAATTCCACGGTGGAATTCTACTACTCCGTAACCGATATCGCAGTCGGGCCAGACGACCAGAAAACGTCGTTCCTCCGCAAGCCCCGTAATCTGGCGGTGCTATTTAACCACTTTGCGAAATAGCCCGTATATCTCCCCCGCTGTATGTGTATGTGACATAGCATTCGATATGTCGAGTGCGCGGGATTCGGCAGCGAGATCGGCAAAACGGGGGTTGCGAGGGAGAAAGGAAAGTTCCCGAGGATAAAGAGACGCAAAGCGCCGAGGCACGTTCGCGATATGCGCGCGCGCCCCTCGTCATACCCGTTTAGGGATAGAAAGCACCCTCCCAACCAGGGTGGGGTTCTCCCCTCGACCGTCGCGTCGGTAGAGGGTGGAAACGCTCCCGTTTCGACTTGCCACGGAGAGCGCACGACCACCGCCGCCGGGGGTTGGAAGTGGGGATTTGTTACAGAGAGAGTAGCCCTAGGTATATATATATATATATAAAGGGAGAGAGAGAGAGTGTATATGAGGGTGGCGACAAGAAAGAGAGGGTAGATGTCGGGACGCTTGCGAATGTACGCGCGCCATACTTGAGGGGTACAAGGGGTGGTACAGACTCGAATCACTGTATACATATATACCCCGCATACAGGGTGGCGCGAAAAATCCAAATCGTTATAAAATAAAGTCCTCCCTTAAATATATCCAATTGCCGTTGGTACAAATTTAATCCAACATCTTTGTTTTATTCGAGTCTTCAACGCGTCACGACAAGACGTTGGATCAAAATTTCCTCGCTCCAAATCTCGACGTTCCCGGGATCCTGTAACCTTCGTAAAGCGAAACGATTCGTTTACAAGCGCGAAACCCACCCTGTAGCGAGAACGGAAGAAGGGTGCGCCCTACTTCGCGTTGGCGTTTTCCCTCCCTGGCGTGGGCAAAGGGGATAGATACGGAGGAGAGGACGACGCGAGATGAAGATACGAGAGGAGAGGAGAGCCGCGTGAGAGGGTGTCTCTCCGTTTCGCTGCCGGGCGTTTCGCAGTCTCGCATTTCAACAACGACGACGACGAGCGTCGCTGGCGTCGCCGTAGTTTTTCCCCTGAGCGAGGAAACGCGCGCGCGCGAAAGATAGAAGAAGCGAGGACTGGGGTGAGGAAGGCCGAGAAAGAGAGAGAAGGGAGGGGGAGAGCAACCCCTATATCGGGGGAGATTCTCGCGAACCCTTCGTACGTTGGCCCCCGCGTAACGAGAACAGCGTTACGCTCGAGCGATAGCACGACGGGGTACCTCGTGAGAATTCGGGTGTCAGCGGTGTCTCCGTAACAGCGACGACGGTCGGTGATGTGAGTGGTGGCGTTGGTGGCCGGTGGTAGCGGTGGTGGTTGGTGGTGGTTGGTGGTGGTGGTGGTGGTGGTGGTGGTGCTGGCGCTGGTAGTAGTAGTAGTAGTGGTGCGGTTACAGTCGATACGAGACGCGGCGGAGAAGCTTCTCGTGGACGAGGACGCGCGCGAGTGGTGCATGTTGACGAACGTAGATTTACGTAAGAACAACGCGACCCGACCCGTCTATCTATCGCTGGGTTACGTCGTACATGGTACGCTTATATGGTACGCGTATGCGCACGTGTGGTGCCGCCAATGGATACTTGACAAGAGGAGAGCTGATCGAAAAGCCGAGGGAGACGTGTCCTCGGGACGCCGTCGTTTGGGCTCGTCGAACTCGGAGCAGCGCGCTGTGTGCTCGGAGCGAAAGAACGCGAAGTGAATATATGTAGCCGCTAGAGGGATGCTAGAAAAGGTATCACGAATGGACGAGACGGGTCCGTTCAATTTCGCTCCCTCTCGTGATTCGCCACGCTGCGCAGCAAGGATTCCGGAGAATGGTGGTGTGGGTTCGTATAAGCTTGGAGGTACGCGAGATGTATAAGAGGAGTGCTCGTCAGTGAAAGAAGAAGTGAAAGAAGACTCGGGCGTGATAAATAGATAAGAGGAGGAAGAAGAGTGCAAAGTGCGAAGAAAATGGGCGTAAGATCGTTCCCAAGAGACTCTCCCGTACGGACGAAGACGCTAATCCGCCGTTGCTGAGGTGCGACGCGGGTGAGTTTCGCGACAGAGAGAAGGAAAAAGAGAAGCGGAACTGTGGTGTACGCTTCTGCGACGACAAAGAAGAAGACAATAACGATCCATCATGGGAGTCTCGGTGTTCCTGCTGTACGCGGTGACGGTGCTCGGGGTAACAGCCAGCGGCGACAAGTGCGCCAACCAATGTTCGTGCAAGTGGAAGAGCGGGAAGCGCACGGTGGAATGCGTGGATCGTTCCCTGACCAGCATACCGGATTGGATCGATCCGGAGACCCAGGTGCTGGACATGAGCGGCAACGACATCCGTCTCCTGCCGAGCAACATCTTCGTCCGCGTACGTCTGACGAATCTGCAGCGTCTCTACTTGCGTGATTGCCGTATCGATCGGATCGACGGCGAGGCACTGGCAGGCCTCACGAATCTCGTCGAGCTCGATCTCAGTCACAATCTGCTGATCGCGGTGCCGAGTTCGAGTTTCACCGACACGCCATTCCTGCGCGACCTGGTGCTCGCGCACAATCCGCTCGAGAGGATCCGCCAGCACGCGTTCACGAGCACGCCGAATCTGGTTAAGCTCGATCTCTCGCACACGCAGCTCGTCGACATCGAGGCCAAGGGATTCCTCGGACTCGAGCTGCTCGAGAGTCTCAAGCTGAACAACAATCAATTGTCCACCTTGCACCCGGGTACGTTCGAGCCGTTGAAGAAACTCACGAGTATCGAGCTGCACGACAATCCGTGGACCTGCGACTGCCATTTACGCGAAATGAAGATGTGGCTCGTGAAGCATAACGTGCCGACCCTCGTGGCACCTGTATGTCGCGGGCCCCAACAGTTGCTCGACCGTGCCTTCACCGACCTCGATATAGACGACTTTGCCTGCCGGCCGGTTCTGCTGATAGCCAGCCGATACGCCGAGGCGACCATTGGCGAGAACGCTAGTATCGAGTGCCGGGTCAGCGCGATACCACCCGCGAAGGTCAAATGGTACTGGAACGGTCGGCAGTTGACCAATCACTCGGCATTCAGCAGTTACCAAAAGATCCTCATCTTCGAGGAGGGTCAGTTTCGCAAGAAAAGCACCCTGATCCTCACCAACGCTCAGGAGGCGGACTCGAGCGAGTTTTACTGCGTCGCTGAGAACCGGGCCGGCAGCGTCGAGGCCAACTTCACCCTGCACGTGTCCCTGAGGACCGCGGGCATGGCGACTTTAGGCTCGGGCCAGATCGCGGGGATCTCGGCCGCGCTGGTCGTCCTCATCCTAATCATCCTTATGATCATTCTCGTGTTATTCGTGCGTCTGCGACGAATGCCGCTCAAGGACGTCAAATCGTCGGCGCCGATGGAGGCGACGTCGGGCGACGGTACCGCGAACGGGAACGGCGGCGACAACAATCCACCCTCCGCGACCTCGACCACCCGCAGGAAACACGAGGAGATCGAGACGACGTCGTTCGCCCTGGAGTCGAAACCGCCCGCCTCGTTGCACCTGAGTTACGTGCAGAGACCTCAGGCAGCCGTGGTGCAGGAAACCGAGTACAGCACCATCAGCCGCTTCGACGACCAGAATCAACCGGCCGTGGCGGCGATCCCGGGCGCCGGCTGTTTCTCGTCCACGACGTCCCTGATGCCGATCGATAATCCGGATCTGATCAGGGACACCCGGCGCGGCTCCGCCGAGGACCTCGCGTCTTACGGGGTCGCCGATTACAGCCGCGTCGGGACGACGATGGACGACGCCGGGAAGATGCTCTACTCCAGCTGCCTGTGGGAGGCCAGGGACACCACCTGCGGCAGGACGTCCGCCGTCCCGGTGGTCGCGTATCCTTCGTCGAAGGAGCAGCTTGCGGTGGTGACGGCGCCGATCGTCGAGCAGTTCCCACCCGGCGCGAAGCAAATGCGGGTCTGGCAGAAGGGCGTCCCGGTGCTGCCGCCGGTCTCGGCGCTGAAACGCGTCCTAGGATCCACGCGCAGCTCGCCCGACGAGGGCTACCAGGAGGGCACCGGCACCGACGTCTAGGTACCGCTACTTCATTACTGCGACGCCCGGCACCGTTACCTGGAACTTCGTAGGAGGCATCAGGAGGACGACACCGATTGCTGAAAGGAGAAATAATAGCAAAAGAAAAAAAGGAAAAGATAAATCGTCCTCGCGAGTGCCGGACGGGCGGTAGTGAACGGCAGGAGCCAAGAATGTGTGTCGGACGAATCGAGTGTGATCTCGCGACCATAGTGTTGACGATGACCGAGAAAACCCGCGCCATTATCGTGCGCGAACTCGGTTCTTCACGTACGTACGTGGATAATCGGAGGTACAGTATTTTACCCAACCAACCAGGTATTACCCGGTACCATCTAATCAGTGATACGAATCAGCCCTGCAATCAGGAAGGTATGATACAATATCGTACGGTACCGGTAGACGAGCGATACCCTTTGGAACCCATCGCTAAAGGTGGTTAGAAATAAGGAATTACGAGTCGAATATGTTAGGCGTATCGTCGAGGATTACGTCTGTTCGTTCGATCCCCGAATCAACTGTATTATTTAGGGTCATCGCGTGCGATTAACACGACCTTCGAGACGCGACAGAAACAACAACCGGTTCCTCTCTCTCGAAGAGTCTGGCCGTTTTACTCTCGTATACCTGCGTTGTTTATGATGATGCGGCTCTTCAAAGCGGTCGGCCCCATTGTGTGCATGATAGTTGATGACATAATCTTGTGTGCGTCATTCAAAGTACGTGGTGCGATCAGCTGGTAGATATTCGGTTCCGTTTATTCGGATATACGTACGTACCTCTATCGCGGGGATGTTAGTTTTTGTACAGGATGCTCCGAGAAAAACGGCTAATATTTAGAAAATTTAAACAAAATATTGCTTGTTTATCCCCTGTCAATAATTAAACAGTCTGAATAATTAAGCTTTCTATATCCAAAGAATCTACTCTTAAGAACATATAAATATTGTGACTGACGATAAATTTTTACATGATTAAGAAACGATATGCATCTTCAAGTTTGCAATGGAAATTCCACCTGCGATGTGCAATAATCTTTCCAAATTAAATGTACGTTTATTAATACAATTGTTTAATTTGGAACGAAATTGACACCATCGACTCTCACAAACTTTCGACTTTTTTCTCACTGGAGCACTCTGTATATAATGCGACAATGAGAGAGAGAGAGAGAGAGAGAGAGAGAGAAAGAGAGAGATTGCATCGATCGATTGACCGGAAGTCGTCGTCACCGATAGCGATGTCTCGCGTGTAACACGCACACAGGCAGAGTGCATACAGGAAGTGCATACACACGACGTGCACCGAGTCAGAGACGAGGAAGTGATACGCTACGCCGGTCACGTCATTGTCTCGACGGTCGTGCAGTACACAATATCGACGGGTTAATACATTTGTATCATAGCTAAGCCGCAATGTCGGAGATTTCCGTAAGATCAACCGGGATAAAATGCGTTAGATGACTCCTCCCCTCCCTTGAGATGATAAGTGACGAGACTGCGACGAGCGAATGACGCGTAGATTTAATAGGAAGTGAGAAGAGAGTGACGCTTATTCAAGCTAAGAAGGTATCTCGCGGATTTTTTCTAGTCAATTCGGTAAAAAAAAAAAAAAGATAAGGAGAGAAAAAGGAGTGGTTACGATGGATATCATTTATTCGGCCGGACGGGAAACTCGCGCGTTTTGGCAAACTGCCCTCTCGATCGGAAGGTGGCCACGTTGAATCATCCCTCGAAGCCTCGGTCGACAAACTCACACGATTACGGACCGGCGCGGCGAGCCTATATTGTTGCTTCGAGTGGCTCTTCGTGTCCGAGACGAAACCTCGCGAGAGAACGATCGAGATAGATAAACGGGGAGGATGCTGCTCTGGATTCATACTCACAATGACACGTTTCCCAATTTGATCGCGATCGTGGCTTGTTGGCGGATGATCTCAATTTTTGTCGAATACGCGAGATTAAATTTGCAATGCTTTCGAGCGAATCCACTTTTTCCGATGTTATTCTGTGTAAATAAAAACCGCCTGACAATTTTTTTATTTAATTTAATACAATTTAGTAATGGTTTTTTTTTACCAATACTTTGTAATGCATGACAATTGTTTTCGTTATTTATTAGTATAATATTGTTATCACTGATAAAAAATACTCGTTTTTATGAAAAATTCAGACAGTAGATCGATATCAATTCAATGACATTTATAACGTTTTAAAGATTAAAGTTTTTCTAATGGAGATTATTGTTTCTAAAAGTGCGTGTAGTTGTGAACAATAATCCAGTAATGTTTGTACATTTCGATCTCGTTTGTCTATTACACGCAGCAGATCCATCAGAATCAATTATATAAGACTGTGTGATAAACTCATAAATCAATCACGGACGAATGTATACTATTGCTCAATCACTAAAGTTGAATTTCGCGATTGATTGGCTGAGTTATGCGTCTTAACGTAGCGTCTTGTCTAAGTGAGTCTTTGTCGATCCATGCATTCGACGATGAATCTGTCAAATCGGATTACAGTGCTTTCATTAGAAATAACTGCGCCAAATTGAATAACTTTAGTACCGTAATGAAATCTGACACAATTATTAATATAGCGTGCTTTCTAAAGAATTTCTATAAAAAGCAAATTAATTTTGTAAAAAAAACTGCTGAAACTTTAATTTTAATTTTTAGTTTAAAACATTTTTTACTAGATTATATAATATTATACAAATTTAAAAAAAAGAACCCATATTTTTTAAAGAAAAAAATGATTAATTTCTCTATCTGATTGATTAAAAATTGGTTATATTTTTCGACACTGACCAATTTAATTAAAGTCAATTTTTTAAACGCCAACTTGCAGAGGAATTTTTTTTTACATCCCCTTGCGAGGAAGCGAATTAATCCGATCTGACTATAAGTCAAAACCGCGCCAGTTGCGAGTTTCGTTCGATCGCTATCTAAAGTATGTCGACGTGCGTTCATTTTGTATGCCGTATATAAGCATGTACCCGTGCGGCGCGTGTATGCGTGTATGTGGATATATGTTTTCTCCGTGTCAAATGCGCGTACGCGTTCTCAGTTTGTCGAAAAAAAAAAAAAAAACATCCGGTCGAGATAGCGCGCGCGATTCAGCCATTTTTGCGTTTGTCGCCGATTTTGCTCCATAGTGCATCGCGCGGTGCACGACCGGTTTTCTCTGCTCAATGATCTCGAACCATATCCGACATATCTAAAAAAAAAAAAAAGGAAAAACAGCGCCCCGAAACGCGGTCACTCCGAACGATCGCATATACATACAGGATGACTAGTCCGGACATTTGCATTGATTCTTGCATCTAGAAAGATGGGGATGAATATATATATGTATAGAGCCGACAAAAGAGAAAGCAAACAACACGTTGATTATACACGAGTCCTGGTATACGGTTATAATAAATATTCTGAAAATAGTTACACACAGACACGAGATTTTTCTATCTAACAATTTCACTGCCTGCAATTAAAAGTCACGGTAATTAACCGGTCTCTCAAATAACGAAGAAAAAGTTTATAGGGATGCGAAAAATAACAATCACGTTGCTTTCAAATGAATCGGCTGCTATTTTCGTACAGACACGAGTTCAATATTAATATTATATATATATATATAATCAAGAATTTTGTTTGATATATTGTTGACATCTTATTTTGTTAATATTTTAATTTAATTAACGGAGTTTAATTTTTTTTCGTTTCTTTGTTTGCCTATGACTTGTTATTTAATCGTTATCTTATCGGACGCCCAAACAAACTGCAAAATACTATTTATTTTTCTTTTTTTATTCTTGTCGATACTTTTGTTTCGTAACAATTTCAATTTGAAGAATGCGCTGTTGCTCAATCCTATCTATCGTTCGTTGTGATCCGTTCGTTAATCTGTGCGAACCGAATTCGTCTCTGGAAAAAAATTTCGTTTAAAACTTGTACATGCACAGTTTCATTCATACGTGACATTCAAAAAAAGAATCATACAATTTGAATTTGTCGAGTCTATCCGTTTGCGGACATTGTTGTCTCTTATCAAACTTGAAGTTAAACTTAACTCGCTTGTTTCGGAGATTTATATTTGTAGAGTCGCGATAAAATGCAAATTGACAAAAATGTCACTTTTTTTTAAATGTGTGTTTTTTTTTTAAATTCAAGCATTCTCGCGTATATGTCGGCATGTGTCGATCGCTCAAAGCAGCCAAGAGTCAACTGTTGCGTGCAAGTCGAGTCTTTACATCTGATTTCCACGAGCTTTCTTTTTTATATATATACCTCTCGATCGACGTGGCACATAACTAGCCGCTGCAAAACGCCGCATGCCGGTTCAATATACGCAACGATATACAGTCGTTGTCTATGCAGCGACTATAAGGTTTCAAGCTTATGCGGACTCGACGTACGAGTTATATTGATCAAGGAAATATGACGATATATTAATTGTGACATGCTGTCAAAACAGTGCGAATCTTCGGGGTGTAATCGATCACGCGAAATATGACGACGCTATACTCAACAAAAATTTCTGCAAAATGCGTATCGAGCGGTGCCTAATTTGACGAGACAATTCATCGATGAGAAACTATATACAATCGATCGCAATATTTTTGTCACGTGCTTATGAAATTGAGATTTGAAAGTAGTTATGAAAAATCAATGCGCGAAAAATATACGTATTACATGCTCTATTTCACGCAGCGGACAATAAATATTTTACAATTTTTTGTATATTTGCTTGAAAATTTGGTTTAATTTTTTTTTTTGCAAGAGAATAACGTGAGAATTATTTTTACAACAACAAATCCCCGATCGTAGAATTGAGAGCGGTCTTTTATTGGTTGTTCTCTCGAAAGTTCGGCATTCTGAGAATGACTCGATAATAAAACTTAGCAAGTGCACACGCGGAATAATGCTGCTTTATAAGCTCGGTGCGGTGTGTTTGGGTTTTGACTTTCCTAAATTATCGATTTAAGTCAGCGTAAGGAGAATCGTTGCCCCGAATTTATTTTCTGGCAGTCTCTCTAAAAAACAAACGATCGTGTAATTAGTTACTGACACATGGCGTGCAATATTGCGTGAAACGAAACTTTCGTCATGAAACAGTCGAGTGACGACTTGCTACACAAGCATAACGATTATATTTGCTAATGAGAATGTAACTTATCAAATAATTTATTTAAATTATGTCCAACATTTCCATGTGCGCGCGTGTTATTTCGCACGTATATTAGACTAACATTAAAATTTCACATATTTTGTGCTGTATTTTCTCTATATAATCCACTTAATTTACAATCAATTGATTTCAATATTATGATTGCACAATAACTTGAAATAAATTAAAATGCATTTAATGCTAAATAAAATATGAGTAAACATATACACATGTGTATAAAGTTACTTTTTAATTTTCAATATTTCTATATACTTGTGTGTGGCAAATAAGATCTCTTAAATCTCTCTCGTTGATTCTCTCTCCAAATTTTAGTAAGATAAAACTCAATGAAAAAAATATTTAAGCGAAAGTTTCGTTATCCATCGAGATATCGCGCGTTCCATTTATAGAGATAATATATTTTAAATTCAAATATACGCGCGAACGTATATATTATATACATATAATTCTTTTTCCCTTTTTTTTTTACAAACGACATTGTGACATCGGTCGTTCTCATTTCAGAGTATCGATAATATCGCGGCTATACGTGTCTGCATATTTTCATGAGAAAATATATTTGAAACACTGCCGAAAGAGGGATGTGGCGCTACCCGAGACGAGCGCAAACAACCCTGTACACATATTTTCTCACTTCTTAAGGTAATTTTCCTTGCCAGGAGAAGCTCCGTGCTTCGCTCCTGGCGTGAAAATATGCTTTCGCGACCACAACGGTTCGACGTCGGGTTTTCGTAAAATTTACACACCTCGAATTTTCGTATCTCTTCGGAACCTTATACACGCATTAACATAATGTTATGTGCAGCGGCGGATTTAGAACATTTTCAACCCAAGACGAGATATTCCGAGCCCTTAAAAAAAAGTAAAATAAATCAGATAAAAATTTTATATAGCTATATATTATATATATATATATATATATATATATATATATATATATATATATGTATGTGTGTGTGTGTATTTCATCCCATAAATATTTTGAATTAAAGTTTATATAAAAAATTGTTATATATAATGTTTTAATGTTTCTTATTAATGTATGGCCGAAAAAGGGGCTTTATAGCTTTATTATCTAGACCAAAGATTACATCTGTTATTACGGGTCATTATTATCAGTGAATGGAGATACATTTTCTCGATGGCGTTTCCTGTTGTTGCACATATGTATATGATGTAACGAACAAATGTTACACTTGTTTTTAACAATTGGCAACAATAAATCTTAATAACTACCAATTGACCGAGAAGTATTTTAAATTGAAACGATAAATAGGACGAGTGTGTATGTATGTGTGAGAGCGAGAGAAAAGAGAGAAAGTAAGACAGATTAAAGGACAAAGCGTTAATTTTATCGGATTCGTGGAGTTTTGTATACAGGCAATATCGTGACTTACATTATGATAGAGACACAATTAAGCGCTGCGAGATAAACTAATCATGAATTATATTAATGGCGCGCCTGATAATATAACATAGTATGACAAGTATATGATATGAGAAGTAGTAAGATGAACGATAGATACAGAAAAGGGAACTTGCTTGGAATAACTTCACACACAAATCATGTGATTGATAAGCATTTTTTTTACAAATCCGAGATACGCGCAATAAATTAATTATTGTTATATTATATATATATATTAATAGTACGCCGTATTGTTAATTTTATATCTGAATAAAAAAAAAGCGAGATTAACTCTTATAATCTCCGAGACATTTTTTTTTAATTAGAAAAATGTTCATTAATCAGAAAACTGCCAAAGAAACTTTAAAAGCAAAAGGATGATGTAGAATTTTTCAAAAAGAATGTATTCTTTAATCTTAAACTACGATTCGCGTCTTACGGTATTTAAATCACATCTTAAGATCTTTAAATCAATTCTAAACACTGACTGCCAGATATGTACAATGATTTTAAGAGTTAATTTCATTCACAATGCGCGATGTCATTTTCTCCGATTGTTAAAAAGAAATTATAAGCATATCTCCATTAATATATTTAACATATCTAATTATATAAACAGCCAAGCGCGTAAATAATCTACATAACTCTGCGTCATATTATCAAATGCGTTATTGAATGAAGGTATCTGAATTCGGATACAAGTACTCAGGTATGGATAGGGTTGCCAGAAATTTTGTAAGTATCCTCTATAGATTACTCTAGTTTATCGGAAAGAAGAATCGGAAAGTTGTATCTCGCATCTAATTCGATTTCTTTAATTTTGCAATTACATATTTCAAAGAAGAATAAGAGAGAAAAGAAAACTTTGAAATAAAAGCTTGTACTCTCTGAGAATAAATATGAGTGTGTGCACGTTGATTTTTCTTTTTCGGAAAAAGAAAATCTGGCGCTCCTAAGCACGCAAGAAAAGGCTTCGAGATACGCACCGACATAATGCGCCGATTCCGACCTTACAAACTGCACTTTGTACAATTAGACTGCGTGCTACCGCATTGCCACGGT